GGAGCCGCGCACGCTCCGTGCGGGAGTGGGCCTGTCCTGCGCACCCTCCTCGGGGAGCCGCGCACGCTCCGTGCGGGAGTGGGCCTGTCCTGCGCACCCTCCTCGGGGAGCCGCGCACGCTCCGTGCAGGAGTGGGCCCGTCCCGCACATCTTCCCATCTCAGTCCACAGTCAACATTTCAGTCGGTTTTCTTCCAGGCTCTGTTGCTTCTTCTATTTTTTATTTTCAAAGTATTTATCTAGTTGGGGATTGAACTCGGGGTCTCTGCATTTGCTCCTAAGTTCTTTTTCCCACTTGAGTCATCTCTCCAGCCTTCTTTTTTCCCCCTCAATCTTTTTTTTGGTCGGTCGTGGGGCCTGAACTCTAGGACTGGGTGCTGTCCCTGAGCTCTTAGCCTCAAGACCAGCGCTCTGCCACTTTGACCCACAGCGCCACTTCTGGTTTTCTGGTGGTTAACTGGAGATCAGAATCTGATGGATTTCCTGCGCAGTCTAGATTTGAATCGTGAGCCTCAGAACTAAGCCTCCTGAGTAGCTAGGATTACTAGCATTAGCCACCAGTATCCATCTCTTCTTGTTTTTTTTTTGGGGGGGGTCCGGTCATGGGGCCTGAACTCTGGGCCTGGGCCCTGTCCCTCAGCTCTTCAGCTCAAGGCTAGCGCTCTACCACTTGAGCCACAGCACCACTTCCGGCTTTTGTTTTCTTTTTGCTCATGTGGTGCTGAGGAATGGAACCCAGGGCCTCATGCATGCAAGGCAAGCGCTCTACCACTGAGCCACCTTCCCAGCCCCTCTTCTTGTTTTTAATAAAACTGTAGACATGTTAAAATTATGGTTTGTTTCCTTTACCTTCATGCTTGCAGCATTCTTCTAGGTAGTCATGATTGTGTATTTGTTGTGGAACTGGAGATTGAACTCAGGGCCTGAAACTTGCCATGCAGGTGGTCTACCACTGAAGCCTCTCCACCAGCCCTTTTGTATTCTTTTCTCTTCTTTTTTTTTTTGGTCGGTCATGGGGCTTGAACTCTGGGCCTGAACAATGTCCCTTAGCTCTTCAGCTCAAGGCTAGCACTCTACCACTTGAGCCACAGAGCCACTTCGGCTTTTTCTGCTTACATGGTGAGGAATCAAACCCGAGGCCTTATGCATGCAAGGCAAGTACTCTACCGCTGAGCCACCTTCGCAGCCTCCTTTGGTGTTATTTTGTGTCTTGCTTTATAGCTGGTCTGGTCTGAATTTAATCCTCTTAATTTGGTGCTTCCCTGAGTTTCTGGGTGACAGGATATGCCCCCAGGCTCAGCTGGGCTTCCTGTGGAGCGTGGGTTGCAGCTGTTGGTAGAGATGGAGTCCTGCAACCTTTTTCTTCCTCTTTTTAAAACCTGAGCTGGCTTAGGACTTTTTTTTTTTTTTTGTCTGTTGTGGGGCTTGAAATCTGGGCCTGGGCGCTGTCCCTCAGCTCTTCAGCTTTAGGCAAGCGCTCTACCACTTGAGCCACAGCGCTACTTCTGGTTTTCTAGTGGTTTTTATTGGAGATAAGAGTCTCACAGACTTTCCTGGCTTTGAACCATAATCCTCACATCACAGCCTCCTGAGTAGCTAGGATGACAGGCCTGAGCCACTGGTGCCCAGCTTGGCTCAGTACTTTGTGTGATCTTGAACTCCACTGAGGGCCAGTTTCCTTGAGAAGGGGCTCCCCAGCCCTTCTGGGGCTCATCCCCATGCCCCAAGCACCATGCAGGTTGAGCTGGCTAAGTTGCTGTTTCTTTTCCAACAGGTGGGGTTTTTTGGTTACGTCAGCTTCACAGAGGCCACGGCGGGCAACGTGCTGATCCATTTCCCCTCCAACCTGGTGACAGAGATGATCCGCGTGGGCTTCGTGATGTCGGTGGCCGTGGGCTTCCCCATGATGATCCTGCCCTGCAGACAGGCCCTAAACACGCTACTTTTTGAGCAGCAGGTACAGTCCTCGGGCCTTCCTCTTCTGACAGGTCACTCGCTCTGCGTTTTCCAGGAGATGATAGGTGGCGCCTTCCCTAGCTAAAAATGAGCAAGCTTCAATTGACGTGCAGACTCTTAATGGAAGGGCAGTTTGTTTTTAGAGATGGGGACTGAACACAGACCCAGCTGTACGCTGAGTGTGCGCACACTGGGGCCGAGCTGCACTGCCACTGCCTCAGGCCACCCCAGTAACGCCTACTCTGAAAAGTGGCTGCTTAGAATTCCTAGCTCTGTAAGGTTTGGGTGTCCTGGCCAGTGATGGTCCGATCACATGGGTCAGTTTGTGGTCCTCACCACGACTTGTTGGGATGCTTCTGTTGTTAGGCACACAACTCCGACTCTGACCCTGGCAGAGCCAGGATCTGAAATGGATGACCTGGGGCTCTGGGGCAGGTGTCGTCTGTGGCCACAGCCCCACCCCGTGTTGAGTGTCCTTTGTCCCTGTATGTGGCTGTGCGAGGCCGGGGGCTTTGGGTTATGCTACGTCACGCCCTCCCTGTGTGCTGACACCTGTGACACAGGCTGTGTGCGCATACCTGTGCCCACGAGCACGTGGAGAGCTTCTGCCTGCACTCTGCACAGGCAGGCTAGGAGAGGCCATGTCATTTGGCACACGTGTCCTGCGGAGTCATACACCGTTGTCCACACTGTGTGTGACACAGAAGGACTCAAAGCTACCATTTCAAAACAGTTGTGAGACCTGTGGCCTGCGCTTGGGAGGGAAAGTGCCCCACGGTCCTGGCTTTCTGCCAGTTCCTATTGAAGATGCTCAGCCATGTCAGATTGTGCAGGTCACTCCCCAGCCCCACTCGGAGCCCGGCATGGTGTGGCTCCAGAGGGAGTGGGAGAGGGCAGCGGGGTAGCGGTAGCTTCAGGACCGGTTTGCTTTTCTTTTCTTTCATGTAGCAGAAGGACGGCACCTTCGCTGCAGGTGGCTACATGCCCCCTCTTCGGTTTAAGGCGCTCACACTCTCAGTGGTGTTCGGAACCATGGTCGGTGGCATCATGATCCCCAACGGTAAGGCGGCAGCTGCTCCTGGACTGGTCCTGCTGCCTCTTCTTCCCCCTGTTTTGCTCTATTTCTGGAGTTTCTGTGGAGAGGAGTTCTGGGTATTTCTGCCCCATGCTTGACACTCAATGAAGACTTCAGTGTTGCGTGGCATCCTAAAGAAAGTCCATAAACTCCCAGTCCATAGAGATAGGCCTGGATAACCTTGGCAGCCTGATGGACTGGCAGACACCTGTGGAAGCCCTAGCAGCCGATGCCTGGGCAGGGATTGATTTGCATGGGTGGGACACAGGCCTGATGGTCAACCGAATGGCCTCAGGGCTGCTCACTGCTGGCGGTGCCAACACAGCGCCGAGGGGACTGGGAAGGTCCCGAGCAGCACCGCCACTGTCCAAACACACGTGTCCCCTGTGTGCACCAGTGCCAGCTTGTCACCAGACCCAGGTAGCTTGCAGGCCCTCTAGAGGCCCTAGGTCCAGATTCCTGGCAATGACTGCACGCTCCAGCCCCAGCTTCTACGCATCTCAGGACAGGTGAGCAAGGAACAGAAGGAAGTGGAGAGGTGGCCCAGGCCATGTGGAGCCAACACTGGATTTCTGAGGGAAATCTTTGGCGTCCGGTCCCTAGAGATGAGCAGCCAAAGATAACCCCTCGACACAGGCGGCTGTTTGACAGATCTGGTCAGGGCTTTGGAGCCCTGTGGGTAGGGCGGGGCCCCGCCTCCCTCCAGCCCTTGGGCAGGCTCTGCCGGGTGAGTGTGGAGGGCACCCTGGCGTGACCCTGGTCTCTGTTGTGTTCTAGTGGAGACCATCCTGGGGCTCACAGGGGCCACGATGGGCAGCCTCATCTGCTTCATCTGCCCAGCGCTGATCTACAGGAAGGCCCATAAGAACGCCATCTCTGCCCAGGTGAGCACGAGCGCCTCCTCCCGAGGGCCGCTGACCGGGCGGCCCACCAGTCTTGTGTGTGTTGGGGGAGGGGACAGCAGAGCACAGCCCCGCACTCGGGGATGAGGCAGGCTCGCTGACTGGCCTTCGGTGTCTTAGTCCAGACAGGTGATTGATGGAGGACCGAGGGAAGCAGTGTGTCTGGCCAGGGCGAGCAGTCATTGCCCCAGAGACTGCAATGGATCCGTCTCTGGCCTTATGCTGGTTAATTAGAGATGAGTGTCTTAGAATGTCCTCTTGGACTGGCTGTGTGTGTGTGTGTGCGCGCGCACGTGTGCCTGAGCTGTGTGTGTGTGTGTGTGTGTCAGGGCCTGAGCTCTGTGTGTGTGTGTGTGTGTGTGTGTGTGTGTGTGTCAGGGCCTGAACTCGGCCTGGGCGCTGTCCCTCAGCTCTTCAGCTCAAAACTAGCACTTCGACCACTTGAGCCACAGCACCACTTCTGGCTTTTTCTGCTTATATGGTGCTGAGGAATTGAACCCAGGGCCTCATGCATGCAAGGCAAGCACTCTACCACCGAGTCACCTTCCCAGCCCCCTCTCTGACTGGCTTTGAACCACAGTCCTGAGACCTCAGCCTGCTGAGTAGCTAAGATTATAGGCGTGAGCCACCAGCATCTGGCCCTAAAGTATTTTCATACCATCTAGCCTGTTCCCTGCGGCCGCCCCTTACTCCCCCCACACCCTGAGAACACCACAACCGCATTCGTGGTGCCTCCCAGGGAGACAGCGTGTGCACATACGGGATCCAGCATTTCTCTTGCTTTTAAAATAGTAACAGCTTCCTGCTGCCCTTGCACCTCACCTCGCACACACAGCTCTGGAGCTGTGTCCTATCTTTAGCTGCTTCCTGGGGTTGGTGGGCATGCCACAGCCCCACGTTCTGCCGGGGCTCCTCTGCGGCCGCTCGCCCGCCGCAGTGAGCACCGCAGCCAGCACGATGACACTTGGGAGGCGGGGTCCTTAGGAGGCTTCCCAGAAATGTGGTCCTTGGGCCAGGGAACGAGCCTCTCACCCTGGTGACCTCCCCCCCCCGCCCCGGCCTCAGGCCCTCAGTCCCCAGACCCCACTTTCTCTCCTCACTTTTCTCAGCTTCTCTGGAATGAAAGTATTTTTTCATTGCTTTAGACCACTTGAGTTTCTTGCTCTGAATTGCTCATGAGTCTTGTCCACTTTGTAAACAGTTGAGTTTTTTTTTTTATTGATGTATTCTCGTAGATATGTAAAGACGTAGTATACATATAATAAAGCACGTAACTTCTGTTCACAGCTTAACACATTTTTGCTAAGTGACCCTGACCAAGAGCCAGATAGGGCTCTGGCGCCCTGAACCTTTCCCTGGGTATCTCTTGCCATCCATCCTACACTCTGAAGTTTACTGCTGTCTCCTGATTTTTTTAAAATGTAATTTTATTGTCATTATTAAGGTGTTGTACAAAGGAGCTACCAAATTTTCTTGATCTTTTTTGTGCATATGTGCTGGTCCTGGGGTTTGAACTCAAGGCCTGGACTGAAGGCCTGGGTGCTATCCCTGAGCTAGCTTGCTTGCTTGCTTGCTTGCTTGCTTTATTTATTTATTTATTGTTGATTATGGAGCTTGAATTCTGGGCTTGAACTCTGGACGCTGTCCCTGTGCTCTTCAGCTCAAGGCGACTGCTCTACTGCTTGAGCCATAGCGCCACTTGTGGTTTTCTAGTGGTTCATTGGCGATAAGAGTTACACAGACTTTCCTGCCCAGGCTGGCTTTGAACCGTGATCCTCAGATCTCAGCCTCCTAAGTAGCTAGGATGACAGGCCTGAGTCACCGGCCCTGAGCTTTTTTGCTCAAGGCTACTGCTGTGCCACTTGAGCCACAGCTCCACTTCAGCTTTTCTTTGCAGTTAACTGGAGATAAGAGTGTCATGGGGCTGAGAAGGTGGTTCAGTGGTAGAGCGCTTGCCTTGTATGCATGAGGCCCTGGGTTCCATTCCTTAGCACCACATAAGCAAAAAGAAAAAAAGCTGGAAGTGGCATTGTGGCTCAAGTGGTAGAGTGCTAGCCTTGAGCTGAAGAGCTGAGGGACAGCGCCCAGGCCCAGAGTTCAGGCCCCACGACTGGACCCCCCCCCCCAAAAAAAAAAAAGTGTCATGGACATTTCCTGGGCTGGCTTTGAACTGTGGTCCTCAGATCTTAGCTTCCTGAGTAGTATGAGCCACTAGTGCCTGGCTGTCTCCTAGCGTTTTAGGATGTGTTTCCTGTCTATCTCAAAGGAATGTGCATGGAGTCTTAGGATATGTGCTGTGGCACCTGCCTTCCACTCAGTCTCCCTCTGAGCACAACCTCGCAAGGGAGCAGCGGGCTTCACTGGTCTCCTGCCGTGTGGTTCTCACTCTGTGCATTCGCCACACTTCCCACATGCTGGGGCAGGACAGACTGCTTCCAGCCAGACACAGCTGCTCCAGATGTTTCATTTGGTGCCTGGGGGGTGCATCTTGGTATCTATACTGGAGTGTCGGTGTTGCTGGGGTCTGCCTGTGGGGTGCGTCTTGGTGTCTCTGCTGGCATATCAGTGTTCGGTGCTTGTGGGGTCTGCCGGTTTTGAGGTTTCTGCAGTTGTGCCTCCAGCAGCACTGGGAACGCTTCACACCTGGCCTGTGTTACCTTTAAAATGTCGTAACCAAGGGCTGGGCATGGTGCTGTGCATGTGTATAATCCCAGGCAAGATGTGAGATCCTATCTCAAGAAAGAAGGCGGCCTAGGCAGCGTGGCTCCAGCCGTAGTCCTAGCTACTTAGAGGGCTGAACAGAATTGCAGTCTAGGGCCAGACTAGGGGAAAGCTTGCCAAACCCTATTTCTGTCAATTAAAAAACTGTGCACAGTGGTGCAAGCCTGTCATCCCAGCTGTGCTGGAGCATAAACAGGATGGTGGTTTGGACTGGAAAAAGAAACCCTATTTGAAAAGTAACTGAGAGTCTCAGAGAGGGGTGGAGGTGAGACATGGAGAACACGGGCCTAGTAAACAAGCCTGCTAAGGATGGCCCCGAGTTCAAACCTCTGTACCAGCACCAAGCAAACAACAAACTGAAAGCCTGGCACCAATGGCTCACGCCTGTCATCCTAGCTACTCAGGAGGCTGAGATCTGAGGATTGCAGTTCAAAGCCAGCCTGAGCAGGAAACTCCGTGAGACTCTTATCTCCAATGAACCACCAGAAAACTGGAAGTGGCGCTGTGGCTCAAGTGGTAGAGCGCTCGCCTTGAGCTGAAGAGCTGAGGGACAGCGCCCAGGCCCAGAGTTCAAGCCTCACAACTGACAAAAGACTAAAGCAAAAAGAACCTGGGGTATGGCTCCCATGGCAGAGAACTTGCCTCACAAACATGGAGGTGTGAGTTCACCGCTCAGTGTTGCCAGTACTGAGGGAAGCATGTGGCACCTGTGTGCACTTGACAGGTTGAGGCAGGAGGACCACAAGTTCAAGTTCAAACCTGGGCTGCATCGTGAAGTCCTGTCTTACAAAAGGGAAGCGCAAACAAAATCCCAGCGTAAGGATGTGCATGAGTTTGAAGGCACTTGAAGGGTCTAAAGGAAACCCGGGCACCGTTAGTCCACGGAGACTGATGCCACCCTGCCCCTCCCCTCCCGAGCCAGTGGGCTCCCCTGTCACCAGCTCTTCCTGGAGAGCCTGCTTCCTTTTTTCTCACTGGCTTTTGGGAATGGCTTCTGTTTGGGCTTGCGCTCAGGTCCTGGGTACTGCCCCTTAGCTTTTTTGCCCAATGCTAGCACTTCTAGCACTTGATCTTGCTATTTGGTAGTTAATTGGAGATAAAAGTCTTACGGACTTTCCAGCACAGGCTGGCTTCAAACTGTGGTCTTTAGATTTCACCTTCCTGCGGGGCTAGGATTACAGGCATGATCACTGGTGCAGGGCAGAGATTTTGTTGCTGTTGATGGAACTGGAGTTTGATCTCCAGGCCTGTGCTTGCTAGGTAGTCTCTATCACTTCAGCTGTGCTCAGCGCCAATTTGTAGTTTTTCCTACATTCTAGATACAGAAACATACTGTTTTCTCAGATTCTTCACTGCCCTTGGATGAACAGAAGTTCTGAGTTTTAGTTTGGTCCAATTTACCAATCTTTTTCTTTTCCTTTGTTGCTGGCCATAAAAAGATAAAGGAAAACTTTGCTTGCCCAAGGTTCTGTAGGCATATCGCGCGTGCGCGTGTGCGCACGTGTGTGCGTGCGTGTGTGCGTGTGTGCGTGCGTGTGTGTGTGTCTGTGTGTGTGTCTGTGTGTGTGTGTGCACGCGCGTGTCTGTGTTGCCAGTACTAGGCTTGAACTCATAGCCTTGCACCTCTCTGGGCTTTTTTGTTCAAGGCTGCTACTCCACCACTTGAGCCACAACTCCACTTCCATGAAGATAGGCCCTCGAGGCTTTTCTCAGTAGAATCTTGTCATTATTAACGTGTGGTAAAGAGGGGCCGTCATCGCGACCCCTCCGTTCCTCTCCCCAGCCCCCCTCCCATCCCTGCCCACAAGTTGCGTAGTCCATCTTCCACGTAGTGTGTTACGAATGCCATGGTTTCATTTGTTCACATCTCCCTCCCCGCTTCCGTCCTCCTAAGAAGCAGAAAAAGGAAAAACAAATGGAAAAAGCCCCCCCCCCCCCAACACCATCGCCAGGAACAGCGTAGATTCTGGGGCACGTTGAGAGCTGCGCTGCACTTGGCTCAGCTGGTGCAGGCAGGGCTTGTTCCACACGGCACTTTCATTGCCCCCCCCCCCATTCATGTCAGTCTTCGTCCCTATTTGTGCATGAGGCTCTTGGTCCTCTGTCCACTGGTCTCCCCTGCACCTGTTTGAGATGCTGTGCCTTCGTAACAGGTCTCCAGGGCAGGGATAGAAGCCCTACCACCTTGTGCCTCTTCAAGGTGTTCTTTCTTATCAGTGGCACTCTGCGTGCTCAGCTGAATCTCAGAATGGCTTGTCAGC